AAGATAAAAATCATACTGAGCGTTAACTTACCAGCATTTTCTATCTAAAGGCCTGGTCCCTGGTGGAAAACCTCCTATTGACTTAACTTATACTAGATCTAGCACAAAGGTCCCAACTTTAAACACGTCCCTTAGCGTTTGTCAGATCAGGGACTAAGTTCTTTATGGCATTTCTGAAAATAACAGCACAATTTCTGGATACTGAGGTAGGGTTACCATATTTCCACAATCAAAAAAGAGGACACGGGGGGAAGCCCCGCCCTAGCCCCGCCCCCATCCACTCCCTCCCACTTCCCACCCCCTGACTGCCCCCCTCAGAACCCCAACCCCCTGCTTCTTGTCCCCTGACTGCCCCGACCCTTATCCACTCGCATGGGTGGCAGGGTTGTAGAAATTTTGGTGGTGCCCAGAACCCCCCCACCCATCTGCCTAAGGCTCTGGGAGGGGGGTTGGGTGGGGGGAGGTGGTCTGGGGTGCGGGTCCTGGGCTGGGGATTAGGGTGTAGGAGGGGTGCAGGTTCTGGGATAGAGTTTGGGTGCTGGGTGCAGGCTCCTGGCTGGGGCAGGGGGTGGGTGTGCAGGAGGGAGTGAGGGGTGCAGGCTCTGGGATGGAGTTTGGGGGTGGGAGGCGGTGCAAAGGGAGGAGGTGCAGGCTTTGGGAGGGAGTTTGAGGGCAGGAGGGGGTGTGTGGGAAGGGGGAGGGGGTTTGGGAGGGAGTTTGGGGATAGGAGGGGATGCAGGGGTGAGGGCTGTGGGTCTGAGGATGAGGGGTTCATGATGCAGGAGGGGGCTCAGGGATGGAGCAGAGGATTAGGGTGTGGGGGGCTGAGGGGTTTGGGATGTTGGAGAGGCTCAGGGCTAGGGTGGAAGGATTTATACGATCTGAAGAGAAAGAGCAGCCTGTCTTCCCATTAGTAGACGGGGGACACTAGGACCCGGGGGCAGCAGACAAGGGAGAGGCAGGCGGGGCGGGGCCCACGGGGGGGACGGGGACGCGAGGAGGGGGGGTGGCAGGTGGAGGCCAGGGACCCATCCAACACTCCCCCGCTCCCTGACTGCCCCCCCCCCCCAGGACTCCCCTTACCATTCTGGCTCCACGTGTTTGCAAAATACTCTGCCCGGTGGGTCGGTTTGGGTGTTACACAGGGCTGCAGACAGAGGGAGGGGGGAGCAGGGGAGGGCTCTGGCTGCTGGAGGCCAATGGGAGTGGGTCAGTTGGCCCAGCCGCCCAATCAGCAGCCGCACTCTGCATGGAAGGGAGGGAGGGAGGCGAGGGAGAAAAAAACCCCGGACCTTTTAACCTTGTAACCAATTCCTCCCGGACGGCTATTTAGAGACGCAAAAGCCGGACATGTCCGGGGAAATACGGACGGATGGTAACCCTAACTGAGGTCTAATATTTAAAAGGTAATGGTCAGGCTGTTTGGTGGATTCTGGCTAAACTCTTGATCTGGCTGGTAGAAACTAAGGGGCAAAAATTGCCCATTATACAAAAAAGCTAATGAAAACTTCCCCTCCACCCCCTTCTTGATTTTAGTACAGCACAGCAAGGCCAACTGCACATACCCAGCAGCACTGTAAAATGGGCTCAAAAAGGGTACACTTAAAAAGAGAAATTACTACTGTGCTTTCAAATGTGACCTGTTTAGCTGGGGAAAATTCCTGATTATCATCAATTTTAATGCTATATTTTGAGTGGTATTGAGGAAGCATTTGACATTGGGCACCGGAAACTTACCTTTGACTTGAAATTAAGGGATGAGGACAGGCAGATTGCTACATCACCTCAAGGCAGATTGCTCAAGGGGGAAACAATCCATCTTGCTTTAAAAATCAACTGAAATTTCACTTGATAGCAGGTGGTGAGCTAAGACTACTGTCTACTATGCAAAACATGCTCCTTTTACTGGTATTTTGGTCTTTCCCAACCCCTGCCTACCTCCTCCCCCTGCTCCCATTTCATTCATTTATTGTTTTGTTATAGATCTCTGGGGCAGGGACTTTCTTGCTTGCATAAATTACTATCAGTGAGTTGATTTGAATGGATAAAAGACAGTTACCTTTTCCGTAACTGGTGTTCGAGATGTGTTGCTCGTGTCTATTCCACAGTAGGTGGGCGTGCTCACCACGTGCACCAGTGTCAGAAGTTTTTCCCCTAGCAGTACCCGTAGGGGAGCACCCCAGTGACCCCTGGAGTGGCGCTTCCATAGCACGGTATAAGGGGCGCTGTGCACTCCCCCAACCCTCAGTTCCTTCTTGCCAGACAACTCCGACAGATGGGAACGAGGGCGGGATGTGGAATAGACATGAGCAACATCTTGAAGAACACCAGGTACAGAAAAGGTAACTGTCTTTTCTTCGAGTGATTGCTCATGTGTATTCCACAATAGGTGATTCCAAGCTATATCTGTTGGACGTGGGAAGGAGTTCACAAACTCTCGGGACAGAGCACGGCCCTGCCGAACCCGGCGTTTTCCCTGGTCTGGGAGACGATCGCATAATGCGAGGCTTGAATGACTTGCAAATCTTGCAGCGATCGCTGAGATGGGTTTCACCCAAACAACGTAAACAGTCCATGTGCGGATCACTCACTGGCATCGGTCACCTACAAGTGTCACACTACTTAAAACCCAGGGCACGGGGCATGCCCTGACCTGGGCACACTAACTAAAAACTAAACTAAACTAATCAAACTACAGGTACCATACACTGAACGGATAAGAGTTCTGGGGAAGAACTGCAGCAAAGCTGGAACAGAGCAGTTCCCACGCACCTTCACTGGCTGCAAGAAGGAACTGGGGGGGGGGGGGGGGAAGAGTTCCCCTACAGGTACTGATAGGGGAAATTCTTCCGACACCGGTGCACATGGCGAGCACGCGCACACCTACTGTGGAATACACGAGTAATCACTCGAAGAATGTAACATGCTGTACATGCACCAGGGATCAGAGTTCATTTTAAAGAGGTGGACATGAAAGATTTTAGTAAAAAATTTAAAAAAAAAATTAGGTTAAGAAAATGACAAATGAAGAATATCATTTGGTAAGGAAGCAATACTGTAATCCAGCCGGTCAATGGCTAATGGGATAATTATTTTTAAAGAATGAGCAGCTGGTTTTCATTTAAAAACACTGGCTTTTCCCAGTCTAATTGGTTTGAGATGTGTCTCTCTTCTCTAGTGTTCCTACAGTGCGTGCATGCGTGTGTGTAGCATGGCTGTAACCCTAGCAATAGACAGGGCAGAGACTAGGTATCCAGAGCTGAGGTGAGGAAGCTACCTGTTTTCAGTCTAATACTGTTGGACACGCATATGTTGGTTTTTTTTTTTTCATTGTTTACAAAGAGGTGTACCCAAAACACACTTCTTTGGTAAAAGCTTTTTCACATACGGCTCACAATTTCCCCCAAATGGGATGGGGTGTTCAGATATTCAGGCTCAGCTTCTCTTTCTATGTAGTAGTTCAGCATGATGTATAAAAAGCGGGGAAAGAAAAGGCATAAATCTTTTAAATACAGGCGGGGAGAGGAAGGGAGGGCAGCTTTTCTTTCTCTTAAGAGGGAGAAAGAGAGTGGTTTTCCAGTTCTGGAGGACTGGATGCAAAATGTAGTCTGTCTCTCTCAGGTTAACAATGAAAATGGATTTTTCTTTAGCTCTGTTGGTCATCTGAGGAGCCCATATAAAGAAGAGCAGGATGAGCATACTACAGGTCCAGATGGGAAGCACAGCTAACTGTTCAAAAGCACACCCCTATAGCTAGTGCTATCAATACCTCGTAGATTCCCAGGCTAGAAGGGACCACTACTATCATTAGTCAAACCTTCTGCATAACAGACCAGAACTTCCCCAAAATAATTCCTAAAGCATGATGAATCATAAGCATCAAATTAACGCAATTAAAAAAATACTGCATAAAGTTAATGATTTATATCAAATATGAAATAAAGTTGCTGGAAAAGATACTGAGCATATGGAATAAAGATATTGCTGAATATATAGAACAGTTTTGAACTTAAAGGAAATGTCAAATTCAATTTCTTTTACATAGGCTTGGAAGGATTAGATTTTTAATCAGTAGATGTCGATTTCATTACACACAGATGAAAAAATATTTCCATTGATAATCAAAGAAAGGCAAAAGAAAAATGCTGCTTGAGACATCATTAGAGTTTGATTTAAGGATACTTACTTTGTAATGTAATTTTAACATGTGATGTTGACAATTTGTGTTTGAAGAGTTGGAGCTATTGAATCCCAGTATCTACGGTCATAAAATAATTGTGTGAGCCCTCCCCAGTTTCCTGCAACTGTGAAAATTTACATAGATACAAATAGAAAAAAATACTAAAGAATAAACAATCACCGACATTATCCATCAAAATTATCAAAAACACGTTCTGACAAGCCTTCTTTTACATAAAATCTGTTGCTCAAAAAGTGGTCCTTCCTCTTACTTACAGGAATAAAAGGAACGGGATTTAGCCCTTATCCAGTGTGTGCATAAACATGTAAACACTTTCACTACAACTAAGTCCGCTATTAACATTCTGAGCTGAACGTTAAGTGAATTTGCTTCAAAAAACAGTAAAATCAATTTTGCTGTTGAGACTTGCAATAAATTTCTGGCTTTCAAAGAATAAACGGCCATAATTATTTTTACAAGTGTGCAACTGGTTAAAAGCAAGACTTGAGTAGGCACAATACAAAAAATCACTTGCATGAGTTTTACCCAACTAGTTAAGAGGCTTACTATATGGTCTGAAATTAAACCAGCAGCTTTATATTATTGTTTTGCTGGACAGAGATCACTCATTATGAAGATTTTAAGTGTACACGGGGAGCTTAGTTACAAGTGATCGTGTGGCATTTTGTTTCCTGTTTTAGTTAACTGTCTAATGCATAATTACATGTAGCCTCAGTTTAAAAAGTGACTGCTGAGAGCCTCAAAAAATACAGCTTAAATAACCATGAACTTGTTCAATTTGTCAAAGAATCAAATGAAAGACAACAAATGGATATACTTTATTGGTTCTTAGCATGACATCGGAATTACAGTTGTAACAAAAAAAATCACACAAACTGCAGGTATAAACATGTAAAACAATACAAAAATAAATGGAAAGGTAATTTTATATATTTACGGAATCAAGTTGTGTAATAAATACAATAAGCAAAAAAGCTTCAATCACACAATTCAGTTTAACTGAAGTTACAGTAGTGTTTGTAAATACAAGTTTTAACTTAACAAGTTGCAAATATTAAAGCATTGAAAACTAGTATAAAAGTGAATTTTGGCACATTGTAAAGTGAGATTTGTTATATTAGTATTTGACAATTGTGTAAAAATGAAGCAATTTCTCACTAGCCTTTTGAGGTACATTTTTAACAATCTAAAATTAGATTAACAACGTTGTTCTAACAACTCACAGTTTACGATTTACTATACTAGTTACAATTTTCCCTTTTAAGAATACCAAACAAGGTATTCCAGAGCTTATATCTGTGCAAATTCAGAAAAATCTCAATATAAAACTTATTAGGGAACTTTTAATTGCAACTTAAATCCTCCCTGCAATCATTTTTGCTAAATAATCATACAAATGTGTAAAAACTGGAATACCAAATTCCACAGCTTTACAAAGAAATAATCGTAGGTCACAGCTCAGTTCAAGTTGCAAGTGTTCCCTTGCTAAGTTTGTCACATTTTTCACCCCCCTATAACTTCAGCAACTTCTGACCAACACTCATTCTCTGTGAGAAAAAACACAAGCTGCTAACGTTAAGGTCAGCAAAGCATATAAACCCTTTGAGGACTCTTAGCACTTCAGCATAATACCAGAAATGCCTGGACACAAAGTTACTCTTATCCATTTTCATTATACAGTAAAAAGATAGTATAATGGCACTTTTTACTTATTTGAACATTTGCAGCTTATCGAGAGATGGTGCTTTTTTTGTTTTACAGTAGCTAAAAATTTCAAAAACTAGATATTTAGGATTAACCCAATTCTTATCTCAACTTCAAAAAATAAAAACCAGATTCCCCTGCAGTTAGGGTTCAGCATGGTATATACATCTCTGACAGGAATACAAAAATTACGATTTCCCCCCTTAAAAAAAGGGGGGGGCTGCTGACTGTTGGAAGTAAAATTAATCAGCAACTGCTATAAAACATCAGCAGCATCAAGTATTTATACATTTTAGTCCTCAAAGAGTTTTTTTAAAAAACGATTTAACCATATGTGCTAATATTCTTCACTAGGTTAATTTTAAGTCCTTTCACCAAAACCGTTTCTCCTTTAAAAAAAGGGTGCAAGCAATACAACCCATGACGTCCACTCCCATAATCCGCTTAGTGCATCAATGGCGCCATATGCAAGGCACTGCTATGTTTAAAGGATATCATTGTCACAGTTTCACTATTTCGGTAATTTTTTTAAAAATCACAGTTAAACATTAAAAGCTGAGGTAATCAAATTATTTCAATACCAAAATATATTAATTGAAATAGTACCAGTATGGTGAAAGGTCTTCATCATATTACACAGTTATTGTTACCACTCCGCATGCAGTACAGCATATAATATCTATACTATGCCTTTGTTGTGGTGAACTCTTCTGATTCAGGCTTTAAAAACAGCTTGATTTGTGCAGCAATAAACCCAATTTAATAAGTTTAGTATTTCCTGTTTTGGTCACAGGGCATCTCTGTTTTAATTAGCTTATTATACTAAACCTAGATGAAGCAGCCCATCAATATTTATTTTCAAGACCTGCACAAATTAGAATTCTTAAAGAGAGTTCAGCAGAGTATAAGCTACAGTATCTTCATCTATCAATTGCACTTAAAACCTACTCCGTTACTGATTTCCAAGTTGAGACAAAGTGTCAACCGAGTGCCATTTGTCTCAGCTCCTGGTATTTTATGTCTGACGTTACATAGTCATACAGCTATTCTAGATATATGGCTTTTGCGGATTAGACAATTTATGGTAAAAAGGAGCACACAGTGTTTACGCTAAGTTATATTGGCAAAGAATTATTCTATTGTCTAAATGCCCCTTTTGCAATATTACCTACAGAACTTTATATTTTCACAACCCTGTCTTAATACGCAGTTTCCATAGCCAATTTTACTTAGTTTCTAAACACTGACAACACCCCAGAAATCAACTGTTAGCTACGTTTACCTACCAGGCACTAAGTATATTAAAAGACTAAAGTGTAGCCATGCATAGATAATTCTCGAGCCTTATTATGATGCTCTATACCTGCAATATGGGTTGCCCCAGAAAGCATACAAAACTTGGAACTAAACTGCTGGCTTTCACTGTGCTTTATAAGGAAAACACTTCTATCCTATTCAAGTCCTGTGGTGTGCAAGATAATGCCTAAATTCTGAAAACTTTTAACATCTAGCATGAAAAAACGAAGCAGCCGCCTTACAAACATTTAAATCCTAATCTGCACCACCTGGAATTCAAAATCTGTACTCTCTTACGGAATCCGTATACCCTAATGATCACAGTACAGGCTAGTAGTGATGTATACTAAAATTTTATCTGAAGTGTTCCAATTTTTATTGTCTAATTGAAATTTCAGCCATTTAAGATTCCAAATTTAAAGAACTTCTTTCCTAACTAAGGCATCAAATTTCTATGTAGACTTGCACTTGACTGTAGGAGTTCAATCTAGTTTTCCTTTCTTAACAGAAGAGCTTATGAACACCAGTTATGCTTCATTATTATAAGCATACTATACGGAATTATTCCTTCAATAAATTCTTATTGCATCAAATACATCTGATCAACAGAAAGGTCACAGATGCACTAAAAGCTGATCCTTATCTGTTCCTGAGGGAAAGGAATATGCAAGTTAAAATGTTCAGCCATGGTTGGTTTCCACAAAACTAATTTCCAAATACACAGTGAGCTACAGTAATCTGTTTTTCAAGGTAACAAGCCCTACAATACTGTCGGTCAGTAGCCTGCAGGTTAGCCACCTCAGAGTCTTGGCCAGCGTTCTATGTAGTCATATTCAAAATAGTTCTTGTTTAATTTAGCGGACAAGGTGCCATCATTCTCACTATATCATCAGCTTGAAAAAACAAATCGGAACCAAAAAAAATCAAACCCAGTGTTTCAATTATGTGGAAGGCTATGGCACATAGATTCTCCTAAAAGCTTGACAGATAAAGTACTTCAAGTACTATTCTGTATTTCTCTACTGTTCTTTTTTACCTTTGAAAACATATTGAGTAGACGAATAACTCATCTCTTCAGCCAAAAGATACCTTGCTCATCCCCAGATGATTTGCTCAGATGTTGGGGCTACAGGAAAATGTACAAGATAACCCTTTTACTCTCCAGCAACGTCAGGTCATAGGTTACACCACTCTGCCTGTAATGCATTCTGCATGAGAACGATAGTATCACAGGAGAAAATGAGCCATTGAGAGCAGCAGCAAGATCAGGTGATCAGAGCTTTTCAAGTGTTCCCCCATTTCTCGCTTTAGGAACACACTCAAACTCTCATACTGAAATACTTCAGGGCGTAACAAGTGTTGGCCACTTTTTCATTTATGGACACCTGTGTACATTCTGTACAGGAAGTTTGATAGGACATTGAAAGAAATGAGCTCCAGGTTTTTGATTATCTGTACCACAGACCAATTTCACTGCTCATACACAGGGCTATTAGGACATAGTTTTGTTTTGAACATGTAATATTTCCACTGCTAATCAGAGAAATTCCAGGTGATGCTTTTTATGATCTGGAATTAAGATGAAGTGGATGTGAACCAGACTGTACAAACAACTAAGTAGTTACCAGATTAAAATGCCAGCTTTACAGGAATGAAGTTTCATTTTAAAACTGCTAAAAACTAACATTTTACTTTTCATTTTCTTGTTAACCAGCAAGGCTGTCAGCATTTTTTCGGTTACTGATAGATGACAGTTTAGAAATCCACAATGTTTATGTGCATTTAATACCACAAACATGCATGCTTATGTCTTCTGCTCAAAGAGGTCATGATATTCTTGTTCTTCTAGCTCTCTGTTGTACTTTTCGATTTCTCTGTTAGCTTCTTCCAAGTAGTCGTTCATGAATTGGTCCATTACTGATGTCGAAATACTAAGGAAAAGTATTCATTCAAATAAAAATGTGCACTAGAATCAGAACAGGTTGGACTAAGTAAGCAATTGAACTAGTTAGCTCTGCATATTAATTTTCCTCTGTGGGCAATAATACAATGTATTAGCATATCCCGGAGTCAGAACGGACTATCAGTACGCTTCCTCAAAGAGACTGTAAGCGTTACATAGGTAACTTTCTTAATCTCAATAGGAAAAAATAATCAGGGCTGTGTGAAACACCAGCAGGTCAGGTAAGTGACAGGATATCTCCAGGATATCCAGTCTCTGCCCCAACCGTTGCCTCTAAAATCATCCCAAGCTTCCATCTGATGTCCCTGGGTAAAGTTCTGTAAAAAAAAAAAAAAAAAAAAAAATCAGGATTCCTATCACCAGCTGCTTTTTCAATCTGGCTTTTAAATTTACTCAAAAAAAAAAATGTAGACCTGTCACACAGTATCTAGACCCTGGAAGTATGTTCCATTTGTACTGGATTGCATTTAGGAGGGGATAGTAAATGAGAAAGAGGGTATTATTCCTGTTATTAGACTGTCTTAATGGCTGTGAAAGGGTGGTTGATGCTGTGGTACATTATTTGGGATAGTCTCATCCATTATTTGGTCTTGCATACCAGAATTACACCTCTACCCCCATATAACGCGACCCGATATAACACAAATTTGGATATAACGCGGTAAAGCAAGTTCAATAGAACGTGGTTTCACCTATAACACGGTAAATTTTTTGGCTCCCCAGGACAGCGTTATATCGAGGTAGAGGTGTACATGAATTTGATTAAGTAGGTTTCAATAAGAAAAAAAAGTCACAAAATCCCACCAGCAGAAATATCAAGATTAATATTCATGAACAAGGTTTAGCATATGTGCTGCTTTGTTTTCCCTTAACTTTTCTACCAAAATGACCATGGTTAGGGAATTTATCCAAGAAGGGAAGAGAGGTCTGATGATTTAAGAATTAAAATTAAGTGCCACAGAAGTTGTGGAAGGACAAGTGGGCCCTCTTGCTCAAAGAAGAACTGAAGTATCCACCTGCAGCTTTCCAAGTAAATTACAATCAATCAGTTACTGAAGATCAATAAAAAACGAAATTGAGAACATAAAAGGAGACTTGAGGTAAGTTGTTTGTGACTGATGGTCTCTTTGTTCAGCACCTAATGCAAATGTTCCTAGGCACTACAATAATACAAATAAATAATAATAAATAATAGTTTAGAGAGAATCTTAGGACAAAAATATTAGAAAATGTGATAAACACATGAGGAATTGTACAGTGGGGGTCTGTTAATATGACTCTGGAGTTATTGCCAAATATTGAGAGAAAA